TTCACATGGTAAAATTGCAGTGGATAGTGAATTCAGGGGATAAAAAAATTTGCAGCCAGCTCTCCTAAATGTTTTTAGTCCCTCTGCATCAAAACAATGTTAGAGTTAGGGAATATTGGGGCTGGGAATGGCTTTCCATGGAACCTGATCTTCTCAGGAGCAAGACTGAACTGAGACCACCTAGGCTGTTTCTAAACATATTTGTCTACTCTGGTCTTAAAAATAGTTTCCTTAAACAACCTGATCCAGGGGTTTGGTATCCTCAGAGTTACATCTCTCTTAATCTGAATTCAAATTTATCATAATCTGAAATCAAACTAGTAATTTCTCAGCATATAAAGAACATTTCTTCTCTCTCCTTTTTGCAATAATCTCTTATAGATGGGGAAGACACCCCTTCTTACAAACGTCTCTAAATCTCTTCCTTCATCCTTTTCTACTTCCTGAACTCCTCTGCCCCTCCTGGGAGCATTCCCACATTCATCTGGATCTTTCTCAAAAGTGTGTTGCTTACTTTGCATTTTAATCCGCTCTCACAAAACGCTCTCAGCTCCTTTTGCCCCAGCGTTATCCACAAATTTCTAAGCTCACTCTCTACTCCTTATTAATGAAAATACAGGCTGGTTCCAGGATCTCCCTTGACGTCTCTTTGCTGACATGTACTATTGATAGCTCTCCCGTACAGTTGTTCAGTGTCAGTCTCTAGTCGTTCCTTGTGGATGAGAAAGCAATTTAAAAGTAGTTAAGATTCTGCCCTCAAAATCGTAGATGAAGCTGTGCACTTTGATGTATTTTTAGCAATGTCCATTGTGTTACATATGTCCTGGAGGATTTGAATTATTTTTCTCTTTCTTTCTTCTATATACTGCTGTACAACTTGACATTACCGGAGCAAGGGGCACTAAAGAAACGAACAGGAATTTGATTTAAAAGAGAAAAAATAAATTACTTCTTTACACAGCAGTACTGTCTGCTGGGACTCGTGGCTGCTGGAGTTCATGGAGGCAGATGGTTTCCCTGAGGTCAGAAAGGGATGAGACAAACCCCTGGCCAGGCTGCCCACATGGGGATACTGAGATGTCTAGGCAGGAACATACCTTCTATCATCCCTAATACAACAGCCCAGGTGCTGGTGGGCTATGAGGGGGTGGACTACAGAAAGCAGTCAGATTTGTGTTTGCCTCCCTGAAGAGCATCTCCCACAGTCATTGCAGAGTAATGGGCCAGGCAGGCAGTTGCTGTGACCCAGAATGACTTTCCTTATGTACTCGTAAGCAGCTTCCACTTATCAATAGGACCGATGGAGTGAGGTCCCAGTGGACATCTAGCCCATCCCTATCATCATCTGTTGTTATTGTGGGTGCTGCAGTACAGAGTTGGCCTCAGTTTGGCACTCAGATGCCAGCTGGGCAACGAAAAAAACCCTATTCTTATCATAGAATCATAGAGTCATTTAGGTTGGAAAAGCCCTTTAAGCTCCCCCAGCCCAACCGTTCCCCTACCCCTGCCATCCCACCCCCAAACCCTGGCCCTCAGCACCACCTCTGCCCGGCTGTTAAATCCCCCCAGGGCTGGGGACTCGACCCCTTCCCTGGGCAGCCCCTTCCAGCCCCTGACAGCCCCCAGGGGAAGGAAATGTCAC